ATCATTGTCACGTCATCTGCCAGAGATAATTTAAGTGACAAAGAACATATTAATATTTTAGCGCAGTTCTAATGAATTGCTAGTAAATTTTGAAAAGAATCATTGCATAATCAGAATAATTCGAGCGAAAACCAAATTTAATTCTGCGAGCTTATCAAGCTGTTAATTAGCTTACGATTAATTTTCATCAATCTGTAATATGTAGTATGAACAAACCACTTGATCAAATTGCAAACTTATTTTCAGCATCAGAAGGAACAAAATAAACAGGCCAGCTTAGCTGCCGTTCGATTTCTCAACTCGATCATAGCGCAGAACACATCGCTACACCAGCTGCAGCAGCTTCAAACGATCAAAATATGAGAAAAGGAACAGGTGCACCAATACTGACCACTTCGAGATTCTTTGCCGGCAGAGAGGGTTCAGTTCCCAAAAAGGCACCACCCTGGCTGATCCAACCGGTCACCTCTGCCTAGGACATCTTCTTTACCTGTAAAATAGGAAAGAAGTCACCGAGCAAATTCTCAGAGCACCCAGTATTAATAAATTAAGGGATGCGTGAACGAGATGCGACACAGCGAAATAATCAATCAAGGGATGCGATAAAGCGAAAAAAACTTATAGAAGATGAGCATCAGAACAAATGTTACGCTAGATTCATTTAGTCTTAATTTCCCTTTTGCAGTTTAAGTGCATGTATGCTTCCAGCAAATTAATTAGGGCAGGGTGGCTCAGTGGATACAGTTCTCCCAGCTCTGTGCGCAAGTTTCTGGTCATAATCGGCGAGGAGGCCGGGCAGTTAAGCTCGGCAGAATTTTGAGCAGTGAGTTGTGAGTTCGAGACCTCAACAAGCTGTGAATGTTCTGCGATGTTAAGAATCGGAGACAGGCTTACGGCCTAATAAACGCTGAAAGCGTTTCAGTTGCTAGGTTCTTCAGTTTGAATAATGTACATATTGTTCATTATATTCCTATACGTTCCAATTTGCTTTATGTTCTTGATTAGTTATTTGTCAAAATTTTCATTGAACCCGTCTATTGTTTTCGTCATTATATTTTGTTCTCCTGCTCTCTGAGCAGGTACACGGATTAATTAAGTAAACTCCACCAGCTACAACCCCTGCACGTTTTTTACCGCCAAAGTGGCATTTACAATGCCCTGGCATTGAAACTTCCAGCAATGAATTGATAATAACCATTTATATTCAGAATTTTAAGCAAATCCGTTCGTATGATTGTAGAACATATGATTAGCAGTTGCGCAGGCTAGTTCGAGTCCGCAGGAGACTTCAGAGAAGTGTCGGTTCAGTCCAATTTTGCTATGATTTCCGACCAGCCACCTTGCCTATTTTGAAACAAATGACACATTATTTGATCATTATGCTGCGCTACAAGCCTATGGATGACGGAGCCGTTGGTTGACTTTAACGTTAACCGTACCAGTTAACTTGTACGTAGTCTTTGCCGCTTTAAGCCCTATTGGCGAATGCTAAATGTCACTGTCGAGTGCGGAGTAATGATTTACATTAAATAAGTGATTGATTTATCTTATTTCATCACTCCGCACTATCTGGGTTGAATATATTCCGCGATAGAAAGCGTCGAACTAGTTAAACTGAACGCGATTGTTTTGCTTAAAGCACTATTGGCGTGTGCTAAATGTTAATGTCAAGTGCGGAGTGGTGTTTTCCATTGAATAAGTGATGGATTCACATTTTTTCATGACCCCGTATCCTCTGGGTTTAATATTTTATGAGATATGGAATTGAACTAGTTAAACCGTAAGAGGTCGTTTTGCTTTAGGGCTCTATTGACGAGTGCCTAATGTTATTGTCGAGTGCAGAGTTGTGATTTGCATTGAATAAGTGATTAATTAACCTTATTTCATCACTCCGTACTATATGGGTTGGAAATTTTCTCAGATATAAGCGTTTTACTTGTGGAACCTGAAGTGATCGTGAGGTTTCACTAGAATGAGAGGAGATATGATCGTTGAACATGCTAGAATAGACAACGGAAATATCTGTCTCAAACGCTATGGTTCCAGTTTCTCGATTCTATATAATTTGAAAAGTTGTGTTTCTTTTTGACACCAGTGATATATATTGATATTCTATTACAGCGGCAGCTTCTGAAATTACGGAAACACCTGATTCTCCGCCGCATTCGATCGATCCATTGTTCGCTACACACATGTCCCGTACTTTCGTTCGGGAGCGCAGCCGTGGGTAACAAAATTGACTCGTAAACAGGCCCTGGGCCCAACGCCAACCATCAGCATGCAATATCTACACATAGCTTCAGATCAATGAGCTGTGGGTAACTCTGGCTAACAGTAAATCCGCTTTGCACAACACAGCCACTGCTTCACAGCGCGAGCGCCGGAGCGCAACGGGCCTTACCGCAACAGGCGGCGCAGGTTAGGTTAGGTTACGTTAGGAGTAGCTGTTGGCCCCCTGTTGCGGTAGGGCTAGGGCCTGTTGCGCCTCGGCCAGCTGTGCTCCGGCCTGTGACTGAACGGCGCTGTTGTGGTGGGCGCTTTGTGCCAAATGCCGTGAAGATGCCCGGCTGAGTTACGCTCTGCTCAGGAAGGTATATGAATCGACAGAATCGCACTGTGGAGTGTGGACTTGGGCTATGCTGACCTCTAGCTATCCACCCCTTTCGTTCCCAGCATCTCTTTAGCCTAGTCTAATTTCCTCTCAGGTTGACAGGTTCAGTCGCCTGAGTGCTGAGTCCTGACGTGACGTGACACTGACAGTCTAACATGAGAAAGTAGAAACTTCTAGCTGTGGCCTGTGAGGCTTGCTGAAGTCCCGTGGAATCTTGCACATTGGCTCTAGCCTCTAGCCGGCACCCACCTGTCCCACCAGGCACCAGTCTCCAGACTAAAGAAGCAGCACTCTAAAGTCTAAACTAGCAAAAAGCCTTGTACCAATTCTGGTGCTCTCACCTGATCTTTTTCTCTGACAGTGCTGTCAGGGACAGGGAACAGGAGTACAGGACAACAGGTTACAGGATAGGAGGTGCTTTGTACACCACATGTCTTGAAAGCCGAAACCAATTTAGAAAAAGAAACTTCTGTGTTTTTAGCTACAGCTAATTAATAAGGGGAGCATCTGCCAGACTGCCACTGGTTCAAAAAAATCAATAAATTTGATTTTTTTATTGTGCATGCTCTAGTTTTTGTGTAAAGTAATTTAAAAAATATACCTATAAAATGAACCTTTTTTAACAATATGTAGGTACTAAGATTCCTTTAAATTGAATCTGTATTTATATTATAGAATATAGATCATTATTCTTGCTAATTGCTAAATACTAAGAGTCTAAGTGTTCTTTGTTTGCAGTTTGCACTTAGCCTATTTGAAAGCTACATACACAAAACAAGATGAATTTAGGTAACACATTAACAGAAACAGAGCTAGGTAATAGTGGCTAAACTGCGACAGTCTCGGCCAAGCCCTGCGCCGGTACCGTCTAAAAATTGTAACTGTAAATTTATTTGTTGCCGCTGAACAAAGATAGGAAATGTTCTGAACATGTCTCACACCGCTGCCTGTAGCTCTGCCACTGTACGTAATACCATAACTATGAAATATGGATGTATATGCAATAATTTTTATGTAAGGCTGTTTTGAACTTGTATAAAAATAATAAACTGAACATTTTTATAGCCTAGATATGGATATCAAGAAAGTACATTCATAGCTTATTATTCAAGATCAAGTTAAACTGGAGTTACTGGACAAAAATAAATCTAAAGATGCATGCTGCTACCCTAAATGCAACTAATTGGCATTTGGCAATAGAAAAGCTTGGGCTACAATATTAGGCAATTTTTTGTCATATTTGATATTCTTATTTTTTCAATAAATTTTACTTATTTGGCTCCCCTGAACAATTAAAATTTCTAAAATACACCATCTTAAAAATCTATCTCTTCCAAAGATTTCCAAGCTACAGCATTAAAAGATATACCATTCCATTTGATTTGTGAAATAAATATCTAGCCATTCACTGATCACTTTCTTTGATTTCATTTCAGTTTCAATTATATATTGAAAAAATGGAGGGAGTGGAGAGGGAAAAAAAAAAAAAAAATTAGAAAAAACATCATTCATAAGTAGGGAAATTCCAATTTAGACTACATACACAGAGCACTGAGAGCAGCCTATCACAGAATACAATTGAAGATCACCTTACTCTGTGTCTGTGCCCACTGCCCTACTATAAAGTATGTGATACTGTCTTAGCAGGCCAGGGTGCAGAAAGTGGGTAAATATAGAAAAATTATTGGTGATGCATCAGCAGCAAAATTCATACCTTCAGTAAATCTTGCCAAAATATTTGGATTGAAATTATTGCATTTTAGGAATTACTTTGAAATTATTGCAAATCTGGAAGACCACAAGCACACACAGTAAGGTTTCCGGTACTGGTAGGTATGTCAGATGGGCCAGGATGCAGTGAAGCTTTTACAAAAATCAGTTGTGATGATGCAGTGCATGGAGAGTAAGGGATATACTATCAAAGTTGTTTGCAGCATTTTCTTATTAAAAGTTACCTGGTGACGGATATTGAAAATGGCTGGCCATGCTTTAGGCTAAAAATCCATATACTGGCAACTCTGCTTGCACCCTCTGCACCCTGGTTAGCAGCCTAGCAGGCATCCCTTGTTAGTCTCCACTCTCCAGCACTTGCTATAAATATAAGTTTATAACATCCTGTAAAATTAGCATTACAAGTGCTTTATACAGGAAAATAAGAATTACACTATTAGTTGTCATAATTAGTGCTGCTCAAACCAATTTTGTTGAGTAGCTTATAGTAGTTAGATCTTGCACATTTTAAATTTGTCAATATAATTGTAATAAAATGCCTAATATGTTCAAAATAATTGATGAAATAGGTATAATTTTAAATAATAAACATTTTGTGTAAGTTCAGTGGTTGTGATCATGTTATTTAAATTATAATATTTTTCTCTCTTCAGGATTTTTTATTGTTTTGAAATTCATAGGAGAACTGTCCAAGTGCTATCTATCACCATGGCTGATAATGTATCTAAAGACTTCTCACCATCAACCATATATTTATGTTTCTACAATCTCTTCCTGAGTTTGGGGTGAGCTGAGATAATTGTAGGTGTTTAGAAATTTGAATTATTCAATTTGCCATTTTGGTTCTCCTGTGAAGTGTAATAAGTGTAATGTGAGGATTTCACCTAAGGCTTTATACACTTCTTATCTTAGTTTCCTAAATGTCATGTGGTAAACAACTATTTTGTACCTGCTTTGAATTTATTTTAGTACCACGTTCTATTCTCTTAGTAGAGGTCTGAAATAATGGAAGTAATATCTATAATTTCTATAAGTATTGGCCAACTTACTTTCTCTGCAGAAGTTTTGACTATGACTATATAATATAATCAGTGGTTTTAGTCACATATGGATTGCATTGAAATCGCTCTAATGTCAAACCTTGAAAATATTTATTTTAGTTCAATTCATGATTTTGACATGTAATTCATCTTACAGATGGACCATTTTGATGATCCAGTTCCTAAGCCACATTATTTATGAAGGCAGACCTGGCCTCTGGAACTCTACATCAGACTGCCTCCTCATTTTTCAATCACTTGCAATTTTAGAGGTGAGTGTATTGAACAACCAAGTTGCTTCTTCAAAGCAATTGTATTCTTATCTTTCTAGTCAAGTATAATAGCCGTCTGGAGAGCTGCCCTGAAAATTTTTTATTTCTATTCTTATTAACAGTACTTAAATCTTAGTTTATAACAATGGCTAGAGGAAAGACATCAAGTTGAAAATGTTTGAAAAAACAAATCTAAAATGATTGTGCATAGTTTATGTGCAAGATCACTGAAACACAAGTATATATAATAAGCAATCAGGGTTGGCAATGATTAAATCAAAATGATTAAATCACTTGATTTTTTATAAAAAAATCATGATTTTTTTTTATTTTTTCGATTTTTTTGATTTTTTCATATATATAAATATATTGAGTGGCAGTCTTCAATTTATATTGAGGTATTGTTATTCATGGTTTAGTATAAATGTACTATGAATGACAAATTGGTATATAAACTTGTTGCCTTTAGTGTTCATTAGGTTCCAATAAATTGAATGCTTTTGGTTACTTTGGTACAGAGGCATCAAGTGTGCAATACATCGTATGTAGCCAGTAGCTTAGCTAATTCTTATAAGGCTATAAGTAGTCTTTAACTATTTGACTATTTATTATATATTGATTACAATATACAATTTAAATGTGTTAGCTAGTTTATACAGGGTGGGGCAGAACTGATTGAACAGTTTTGAGGCAAAATAAAAGAGTAATGGAGGTACATAAAGAAGAAAGTTTATTTTCCTCAAGATTAGCATATAATACCATTTAAAATACTTATGTTTTGAAAACAATATCAGGAAGATGGTGTTTGTTAGCTGCATCACACTGTTGAAGTCGTTCTCATAAGTTTCCTACAGCACATTCACACAAATGGCAAGGTGTGGCCATAACCTCTGCTACAATAATCCGTTCCCTTAGCTGTGGTAGGGTGTGAGGGCGACTTCTGAACACCCTTTCTTTTAGATGTCCCCAAAGAAAGAAATCACAAATGCTCAAATCAGGTGACCTCGCAGGCCACTGTAAATCACCCCTCAGAGACGCCAGACGTACGGGAAACATGCGTTTCAAAACATTGAGTGACATTCTGGCTGTGTGAGCTGTAGCCCCATCCTGCTGAAACCACACGTCTCCCAATGCTTTATTCTCAACAATGTTTTCCATCCTGGGCTGCAAAAATTTTTGCAACATTGCCGCATAGCGATCAAAATTCACCTTCACGGTTACTCCCTCCTCTGAGAGCGACTCCAAACAGTGTGTTGCAGCAAACGGCCCCCTTCTTCCAGATATTGTTTTCAAAACATAAGTATTCTAAATGGTATGTTATGCTAACCTTGAGGAAAATAGACTTTCTTCTTTATGTACCTCTATTACTCTTTTATTTTACCTCAAAACTGCTAAATCGGTTCTGCCCCACCCTGTATATTGAGAGGTTGAGATTGTATTGACCTTTTAGGCAATTAAAAAGATTTTCCACCCTAATACGAGTATTCTAATTAAAATATTTAATTTCAATCTTTAAATATGTGAATTTAAAACTAGAAACAAAACAATTACAGTTATAAGACTATGTATAAAATAATTAAATGCAGTGAATGGATATAAAATATTTGAATTGTGCACATGTTTATTTCAAACAGTATTAGATTTTCTCATAACTTAAATCTCGTTTCAAGTCGTATGAGGTTTGTTTGGTTATCGTTCAGTTTATGTTTAGTATTGGTTTATTAGTCTGAATTAAATGGGAACAGTGCAGTCAGTCACTCAGTCACTACTAGTCGGAGTGTATAGAGGGTAGAGTCTGGTAGATTTATAGGACTTAAAACTAGTAGATCTATTGATAGTGCAGTGCACTGTGCTATCAGCTACATATCTGTTATGTGACTCTTCAATGTTTAGAAGATCTGCATTCCTGAAGTGTTTTTGTAAATTAAAGCCAGTTAAATGGTCAATATTTAGCTCATTACCTTGCTCCATACAAACTTTACAAGCTAATGAATAGACTTACCAATAATTGTTTACCCAAAAATCCCTAAGTGGTAAACACCACCTTGGCCTGTTGGCCATTATTGAAGGCAATAAGTGCCCTTTTTAACCATCCATTATGATCCATATACTGTTATTGTTAGTAGGCTAATTGCAACATAAAAAATAACACTTCAAAAAGACAAAAAAGTTGAAAAAATAAAAAAATCAAACAAATCAAAAAAATCATGAAAAAATCAAACAAATCATTGATTTTTGATTTTTTTGATTTAAAAAAAAAAAATAAAAAAAATCACCAACCCTGTAAGGAATCCAGACCAGGACCATTTAGAATGAAGATTCTCAAACTCCATTTGCAAAAATATTATTATGGGAAATTTGTAGGTATGGTTTGGTTCATCTCTTACATCTGCTTTTATTATTTTTGCTTGCAGGTTGTCCACTGCATTGTGGGAATAGTTCGCTCGAGTGCAGTCTTGACATTTCTCCAGGTGTCATCTCGCCTCTTCCTCACATGGGCTATACTTTACTGCCTGCCAGAGTCAAGAGACAGTCTTGGTTAGCTATAGTAGTACAATTCTTATCAATTGAGGATTTATCTTGTGTCTTGAGAAAGGAGACAAAGAAGAGTTACAGTCAAGTATCTTGATGTACTTTTGGATCCTATGTAGAATTCTTTCTCTCTGACTGAGTAGTGCAACAAAAAACTCTTAACATTAAATGAATATTGATTTATACGTATAGGTACATTGATTTTATTCATATTCCTCAGTCTTTCAAACTTATTCACTTGTTGCCTAAATATTAATTCCAGAGAGTGCCTTTTACCACTTTTACAAATATTGGTAGTGACGGACAGCTAAATTGATATGTTGAAATTCTAATACCACCCCCTCATTGCCCCAATTGATAACCACCACAAAAGAATTCAACCTCTTGATTACCACCAAACTTCATACTTCCAATGAGTGGTGGATGTTACATTTGGTTAAAGAAATAAACTTAATTAAAACTGAAAGTTAGTGAAGTGGATATTGGACAGCCCTACCAGTTTTAGTATACTACCTGAATTTTCCTTGTAACATCAATATATGCAAATTCCTACAGAACTCCTCAAAATAAGTGTAATATTTATGTAATTGACTGATGCAATCATCCACAATAGCTAAGCACAAGCTATTTATAACTTCTATTAACCCTAAACCATTGTATAAGTAATATAGCTAATTTTTTTACTTTTGTCCAGGTTTTCCCATCGTTCTTTTTGCGTGGAGCCTGACTGAAATTGTCAGGTATCTCTTCTACTTCTTGGGACTTGTTGGAGTAGCTGCTGATTTTGTGGCTTATCTGAGGCAAGTTCCATGCAGTCTCTTGCTGCTGAAAAGTTATATTTATTTCTAAATCATGATTGGCAAAAGCGTACGGTACTTTTAGAGTAGGTAATAATTTGAAGAGCCCATCATGTTAAATCACTGCACAATTGTTATTGGAGGGCTGATGTTTCTTTTCGTGCTTTGAACGTGAGCCTCTTTTTAATTGTAGTCTACTACTAAAATTTGGCATCAAAATTTAAAAGGCCTATTAGAGCACGGTGTCCATAGTTTGATCTACTTATCTATTTCAGAGATAGACAAGCTTTTAACTAAATTAGAGAAAATTGACGGTGACAAACGCGCGATATCAAGAAGATAGTTGAGCTAGTACTGCAGGGCTCTGCGTTGCTTGGCAGTGCCCTAATTTGTTAAAAAAATGTCTGAAATTGTTCCGTATGTTCACATGGTATCCAAGAATCAAAATAATATCTTGTTCAACTATAATATGTGAACACTTATAAAATTTTAGTTGCCAAGTTTAGCATGTAAGTTTCTTTTTAGCGAATTTTCTCATTTATGGAAAAAATGCACTATTGTGCTCGCCATGTCCGTCTGTCTGTCTGTCCGTCCGTGACTTCACGTTTTCGTTATTTTTTTTATCGTGGGGTCTAGCATACCATTAGCTGCATTGGACATTAGTTCTCCTTGTAGTGATGTGCTTTTGATGTGTCTTCCCTCATTGTTTGCAGGTACACGATGTTCATAGCACTCTATCCCTTGGGTGTTACGGGCGAGATGCTCTGCTATTTCACGGCTTTGCCCCTGGTCCAGAAACACCGCTACCTTTCAGTTACTCTTCCCAATGCCTGCAACTTCTCCTTCGACTCCTACTATGCATTCATCATTGTTATTGTAATGTATATACCCGGTGAGTGCGAGTTACATTACGGTACATGATGTGTCATGAATTTCGGTTTGGTTTCATAGAATTACCTAGGTGTGTAAAAAAATCTGCTACTGGTTTGTATTGTTTGCGATATTATTTGTACTCGTCCCGAAATTTGTCCAAAAATTTATCAATATCTTTGAACTTAACACGTCTTTACTCCTTCGTAATTTAACCATCAAATATCTACTTTAATATAGTTATTTCAGGAATTTTTATTGTTTGTTGCAGTTTTCCCTCAGCTCTACCTACACATGTGGGCTCAGCGCAGGAAAGTTTTGGGTGGAAGCACCAAGCAGAAAATTCATTAAAACGCTCCTCAACTTTGTTACGTCGTGCCATCAGCTGCGTCACTGAGGCGAAAAAGCATGGGTCCAGTTGCCATAATCTTCAGTGTGTTAATCTTAAACAATTAATTATACATCAACTGGTGATGATGTGGGTATGGGATGATATGTGATCGAGGCTTGAAATCATTTTATCCCTAAGGATTTAGTTCAGAGTGCTACTGCCTACAGACAGTTCTGTGTTTAGGTCAATATTGCTCTATAGGATTGTTTTTGTATCTAAAAATGTGTCAGCCATAAATTTAAGGTAGAGAATCACTTCGCTGTACCGTGACCAATACTTAAGGCTGAATGAACATTAGACCCCTGTGTGTGTTGTAGCTTTTCAGATTGTTAAATGACTGTTAGGCACCAACTATTGATTGAAAAGTTCAATAAAAGTTTTGTATCAAATCGAATCTTTGATGTATAGGCGTATATTTTTTGGTATCATAGTAATTTTAAAGTTATTTAACTGTTAGAACATCAAATGTAAGAATGATTAAGGAGAAGATGTCAGTAATTGTGCTGCTCTGGTTGTTCATATATTTTTCTAAGTGGTCGTGTTTGAGGTATTGATTAAGCGGGCTACAGGAATCTTCTAAATACCACACATTATCTAGGTTAATCTACATTGAAATAATATCACAACCAATTTCTTAATTAATCATTACTTATTTAGGGTATTTCTACACGATACACACAGCTGTTGTTACGATATTTTTTTAATTGTCGGATTTTAAAGAACTTTATTATTACTTTGAATGGCTTTTTGTTTATTTCGGATGTACTTCTTCATTCTGACACTACCCTGAAATTTATTCACTCTAAACTCTTGTTATTTCATAAGTGGGAAAGGACGAATGCCCGGTAAACAAAGGCTTGTCTGTTATTAGCTGTTACTTCTTGAAATGCTACCCAAATATCTGGCATTGTTTGACGTATTAATATCACACGTGATTCTTGTGTTTGATTTGTGTCTAATTCTTTGAATCCACTAAATATTGCATGCATGCTCGCTATATATTTCTTCGTTTCAATTTCGTGTAGAGTTAATAAGAACATTGCACTTCAAGTGGCGTCAGACAACGCCTAGCTATGACTCATACAGCGCTTTACTCTCGTGATTGCTGGCAGGATGCGGGCTTGTCGTCTTTGCTTCATCACATGACGATAATTCACCCTTTTGCGTGTTTACAGCAATGGGAATAGTTGTTAATAGTTGTATGACAACGTATCTTTGAGGATCGAGGGTGCTTGAAATGTCTTGCTTATTTGCATCCAGTCACAAATAGCGATGAGCTGTACTTAGTTACTGTGTACTTTATTGGATGCTAAATAATTTCCTAGTTTTCTTTTAATTAAAAATAACAGAACAATTTCTTCTGTAACCAATTATTGATAATTGCGTTTGTTCGTGTTTGACAAGAGCCAAGGCTTGCAGATGACCGTGAGGCTGCTCAGTTACTTTTATTGTTATATTGTTGTTTGTTGTGGTATCTTTGTGTGCTTTGTTTGATGTTTTTTGTTAATTTTCTGCGTTGTTTCTCATTCATAAGGTATTGTGGTGGCAAAAAGTTTGGTAAAAAAGTTTGGTTACGCGTTTTTCTCCTATCCCTTGTTCTTTATAATGTTTTTGCGTTTTAATATCAATATGACCTTTATTTTTGAAGAGTAATTGCGTTACTTCACAAATACTTGAGAAACTTGTTTTCTCTCTAATGCCATGTTGAAAATAATCTGGATAATACTTTTCAACCTTTTCAGCAATGTAGAGCTTTATGACGTCTCAACGCTGTTAACGACGAGTACTTCGGGAAAATCAAGTTGGTTTGGGCTAGTTACAGGCCAAAATTAGTTGAGCAACCTTAGGAAATCTTCACCGAATTCGAAATCAGGCAAACGCAGAATGAACTATTCCAATGCAAGCAAAGCTCAAAAAATTCTTTCGTACGCATCTTCTCGAATAAAATGATCGAAAAGTCAGAGCTTGCGCTGACCTTGAGCTGCGGCAGTTAGGCACAGCAGGACATTTCTTACTAAACGCGAGTGACGTACTCTTCGCAGAACTTGTTGACTATTAGCTGCAAGTGCTGTAACGTTAGTCGTACCTCATTGCTTCAGTTGCCGTTTATATGCGAATAAAATAATGATGCGTCACCGAAAGCGTTATATCGCATTGAAGAAGATGCTCAATTAACACCATCTATCCGTTGTAGCTTCTTAAAATCGGTATATATTGTTGCATATACTGTCTATGCACTTCCGTGTATGTTACTTAATTCTGGCATTTTATTGTATATTTTAAATTTAAATTAACCGAATAATTCGTTAAACTTCATCGTCTGAACTGGAGTTAGTTGGCTAGCCTTGGCCTCACGGAGTTGTTCATTTAAATTAACTTTTAGTCTCAGGACCGACGCAGTGGACATTTATAGAACATGAATGATTGAAGACTTGTACTTGAAAATTTAATTTGGAAATTTTAGTAGTTTTTCATATTAGGCTGAATATTTATAATTCAGTTAAGAAGTCTCTTGAGAAGCAAGACATCGCCATAGAGGCCAATTAACATAACATAACATAGTGATGTCGGCGCTGAAGTGTAGGCCAGATGTGGCCTGTCGCCGATTCTTTTCCTTTTCGTGCCTTGTTCATAGATCTAAACTCGTGTCATTTGACCGGATCTTTTCATGACTGACGATAGTTTGAAGTAGCTACTAGACTTCCACCGGGTTCGATAAGGAGCTAGGCATTTCAAACCTGAACATATATTTTTCCATAGCTTTATCTAGTCTGTTCTTGAGCGCGTTCATACTTGAACGCGTTCATACATAATTGAAATATCGCTGTTTGTAACGGAATTCAACATTATTTGTTTAGTCCTTATGTATTACGTAAGGTATTAAAACATCTCTATCCTGAAAAATTAGTCAGGGATTCGAGTAGTGACGTTGAGGTGCGCAGGCTAGCACAACGGAGTCAGTACTCGGTAGCACATATAAGCTCCGCCTCTTCGGCATCTGCTTCAGTCTTGACTCGAATCCAAGCGTGTGAGCAGCAGTAATTTTCTCGTCTCAGCTTATTTTCCAATTAACTCACCATGGTAAGTGGTGCCAAATTAAGTAGGTGCGAGCGCACACAATTGTGAAAATAGGTCAGACCGGCTGTTGCTTCACCCGACCCCTTTCCCCTTTGAGTGTTTTTCAAAATAATATCCCACATTGACATAGGTACAAAGAGGGACAAGTATTTTCATTTTGTTTGGTCAATGGTACATAAATCATAGATATTTAGAGTTGAAACTTTTTTGGGCGAATAATGTTCCATCATAGAAAAGACCAAACTGTACGTTACTGAATTCTACCGTCTCGAGCTCTCAGATGACCATGCAATCATTTGCTATCAATAACGGGAAATCAATCAACTTGCTCAACGAATGAAATAATTCGTTCAGGTATTCGAGCTATGTAACAGTATTGGTCCCCTGAACTTGTGCTCCTCCGGCTCAAGTAACACTATTAAGGGTCATAAAAGCTGAACCTGAACGCAGTTCGTTTCTTCTCAAACATGACGTGACAGGCTGCTGATCAAAAATACCGGCGCACTCGTACGCTTCCTTCTTCAAACTCATCGCTGCTCAGCTTTCGTTCGGGTCGCCTGCCGAAGACCACCACTGCCCTGGGGCCTGGATGTAATGGACCATCATGATTCCTGCCTTCCGGAACGTAGCCTTCAACACTTAAAGCCGTCCGTATCTAGGCCGTGGGTCGAACCAGCCCTCGGTCGAACGGCCACTTGCCGAAGGACGATAAATTTTGGAACAGAACTATGCTATCTGAAACCTAACCTCAGATGCGGTGAACGTAAAATTACGTAATTTAACGATGCCCGGAAGTCAGATTCGATCCGCGGCCTGGTGGTGCACGGCAGGTTCTATGCGAGGCCGGAGGAAGCCAAAGCCGAATGGTTCACGGCTGATTGGTGGAAGTCCGGAGAGATCAAAGGCGTTCGATTCAGGGCGTATTGGTGCACAAAATTGGTGGTGCACGGCTGCGCTCCCCTTTCGTTCATTTACGTTGTGGCTTCAGCAGTACAAAATCACGTAGGCTACTAAATGAATACACTACGAATGAACAAAATACTAATGATCAATAATGACCATTTACCAGACTCTTCTCTGCGAAATTCATATGCGCATCGATTTATCGTTATAATGTCGTGTAAAAGTAATCATAATAGATATTAATTAGCGCAGCAGTGCGTCCTGCCTCGTGTTTCTGTTGAGTGTTCGTGAAAAGGTCATACGGGAAGCGCGGGAATGTTTGCTTTATTCTCACATGTAACTAAGCCATTCTACCTATTGCTATCATTCAAATTATTATGTATGGAAATTATTTGTCGTGACTTGTACATTTTAAACATTTCCTTTTTTTCAGTGTAGCTGGATGGGGAATTTTTCTCTCTCGTTTAGCTGTGGGCGTTGAACGGATATTATTTTTGTGCAGTCTATAACAGCTCTTCGAAACGATCATGCTATTTGTAAATACGAACACAAGCTGTATGTATATTATAATTTTATAAAGTAAACAATTAAGAACACTTTGTTCTAAAAAAATGAAGTTCTCCCCATCGTGTAATATTTCTAAAGCACAAGGTGTATGAAAGAGCAATATGACATTTAGTTTCGACGGTAAAAGAGTGCAAATCAATTGCGGTCAAGAGGCTCTCGTGTGAACGGGTTATCTGTATAACCAAGTCAAGCAGGGAAGCCTCCTATCAACATGACAGTCCTTGTAGAGAAATGATCGGCGAGCTATCACGTTCAAAAAAAAAAAAAAGCTATCACGTTCAAAAGTCGGCGAGCTATCACGTTCAAATCAAAACATGGGCATTACTCAAAAAGACAAAGTAGCATATAATCAGTTGTGATAAAATGGAAGAAGCAAAGGATAGATAGGTAAATACACTAGGTACAGTTTTTACTTAGCAACATCATTCATCTTGATCGAATGGTATTAATAATAGAGGGCGCGTTATACTTTTCATTTTAATGCTTTGTAATTTCTATGAAATTATTCCACTGCATGAAATGAGTCAGCAATTTGAAAACTAGTGTTGAATATCATCTTGAAGAAATATGACCTATGGCTTCGCTCTCCGCTACAGATAATTTCAGCATGAGAGCCTGAATAACCTGAAGCGTAATCTAACCTAACCTTACTGTCAGTCTTGCTGGATTAGTTTTAGAGATGGTCGATGCACATCGATCTCCTCTAACTAACTTCAAGGATCAAAAGCCAGTGTTGACCTAACGTTGTACTATTGGCTTGTACTTTAGCAGAATAATTCTACAACTTTCAATAACTGTCTTGTAAACTAATGCCGATTAGAACCATGAACACGACCAAGTCGCTGTGACTTCCAAGTTAAGTTTTCACCCCATGACTCCTGAAAACAAATGTGTCTTTAGAAAACGAACCGCGTTGCTGAGTGATGTGAGAAAATTTCTGGGTTTTCTGTTGTTTTAACTAGAAGATTGCCACGTCATTGTTTGACGGTAGCCATTGTGTTTCAAAGCTGGGACAATTCATCGTGTAAATGTGAGCACAAAGGAAAACTAACATTAATTTTTTTATATTGTTACTGTTCCCTTACTGAAAGTAAGAAGGCTTGGGAAGAGACGGAATGCAAGGATTCCCTGATGCAACAGAATTTTACCGCTTTTCTAAAAGATACTATTTGAGTTTAGGGAATATGGATTTGCGCTCTCATTAGAACGAGGTTCAACTTGCTTGCCGAGTGTCAATTTTAGCACTCAAAAATTATTATGTTAATGGAGATTTTCATGTTATTTTTTACCTTTTATTTTTCAAGGCATCGGCATAATAAAAAAGTGAATTATTTATTAGCGTTATGCTTTTATCACGCGCATCTTGTATAAAGTCTGTTTATAATGAAACAAAAATGAACATAATCTAATCATAATCCGGAAATAATCACGAAGCAACAATTATTGCGTTTTCTTTTGCGGTCTGTGGAATACCAAAGTTGGGTTGCAGTGTTTCCCCCGCCGCTTTCTACGCGTGGCGCCAACCCAATGTGGGACACGCTTAAGAAGGAAATTTTCATCGAATCATAACGGCCGCAAATGGAAAGTGTCACCTCTTTCTCGTAGAGCTGTATTCGTTTTCCTTCAATTTGATATTTGTTTGTTTGCAACTTCTCATGAGGGTCTGAAGCTGCAATGCACTTGCTCTAGCTCCTTATTTTACTTCATAACTGTTGACCGCGATGAACTTTAGGTGGGTTATTCTCTCGTGCATCACAAAACGATTAAAAATTATTATTATTTTAAGTTTTGAATAAGTTGAAGGCGTAAGAATCTCCTAATTATTCTTGTATTTACTTGTTTAAATGCTGGACATTTCCCGAAACGCGAGAGTTAAATGGCTCTCTCCTTTCTAATCGACATAGAAAGACTGCTCTGAGCAATGTGAAAGCGAAAGCTATGAATCTATATGGTCAGATCAGCCATGCATTGAATCTTGATGGGACCCATTGCGTGTAATACGGAGCGATGTTGAGTCATGCGGGCATCTTATAGATACTCTCAACAATTTATTTAATTCTTCCTAAAATGGAAATAATTCAACAAAGTGAACGCTTCGAAACATGTACGAATATTGACGCCAAAGTATTTGTGAAACAACTCCATAAATAACTTATAACACGCGATTACTACAGCCGGGATACATTCGCAGATGAGGGAAAAGCATTAGAATTTCTTTAAAAAAACTTATTCGTATATAATTTTCATTGTATTTAACAACGTTTATTTCTGGTCCACAGAAGTACAATCATCTCGTTGTATTGCTGCTCTCGGCTACCGCTGTTGCGTCCGCATGGCCGACCGTGTCGCAGACTCAATACGAGTTCGAACCTTTGCGCGAGAGGTGAGTGTTTATCACACCTAAATATTGGGAGTAAATGAGAGCTAGATATTGTTCTGTTCATTTTTATCGTATTTTATTCGGCTAAGATAGTCTACATCGATGTATGGATGGATCGTTTTTGCTCATTACAAATTGAATAAGTCTCGTTTTCCGAATATGTATGTATATCCACTGCACACTTGAAAATCGTTTGACTAATTTTTTTATTCTATGCAATATATAAAAAAATCGTCTGCTGAACGATTCCAGAAGTTTTTAGAATATGAATGGTGCAACATATTTTGTTGACATGTGCAGTCAAGAGACCAGTGAGGGGGGCAGAGGGTGGCAGACATGGAACGCGCTGGTGAACTGGCTGCGCCCCGCCACCAACTACATCACCCAGCGACTGCCTAACAAAACACCGTCCGAGTTCGCCAGCGATGTCAGGGACACGGTAAATAATTTAATTCAAACTAATGTTCATTTGTTTACACGATTCATCCATAAACGAATCATACCAAATTGACTTGATTTAGCGCGCACAGATGATTACGGAACGTATTAGTGACAATTTGAGGAAATAAAAGGTTATAAATAACAGAATTTTTGAAAAGAAACACTGCGTCCGTCGAGTAAAGTAAACCTAAATTTCAGTAACCCTGAGAGAAATTAGTTTCAACCCAATTTATTCAACGCTATAAAAATGAAGACATTACCATCCATTTTATATCTTCATGTCTTCATGGTGATGATGGTACGTACAGCAGTCGTCCCATAGATCTGCTCACCAGAAACAGTTCTCATTGAAAGTGATTTTATTTACCTGCATATCTTATCTACATTCATAGTGCCATGCTTTTGAATTGAATATATTCTTGAGACTATAAGAATGAAATAGCAAATTGTAAATTGATGCCCTTTGTGTTTCCTTTATTCTTCTTGATATTATATTTAGTTCAATAACAAATGTGGCGTAGTGTTAGAACTATTCGACAAACTGATGAGGAATGTTGAAGTGTAATATTTAATATTACACTTCAACTAAAATGATATTACGTTTACATATTGAATATAAATTATATAATATGACAACTTAATATAATAATATTTACTGAGGTTCGTTAACTTAGTTCCCAAATGTCTCTATACTCGCTTTGTGTGCTAATCGCTTCTGGAGATTGTGTTTTAAAATACCAGTACAAAATGTTCATTTTAAATTCTATTCTACTCCTAAAGCTGATATTTTGAAGTTAGCAATGTTGGAAGCTTTAGCAGAGTTTATCTCAGTGGAAGCTTCCTACGGAAATGCCCATCCTCTGGCTTATTCGTAAAACAGACTTTGATTCACGCGTTAACAATAACTTGAGTATTATTATTGGCACTAACTTCTTGGTGCACAAGCACAATCCCGTGCGTTGTGATTGAATGATAATTTTTAATTATAAATTCCTCAATTTTACTTGAGCACTAATTAAGACTTGAATAATCATTTATTCACCTATACCTTCTTTAAAACATGTCTAGTATTAGAGAAATTCCGATGAAAAATCTCTTTTATGTTACTCTACTGTTCTCTTTATTGCATACGAACTCGAATTAATCGAAGGGAATTATAAGAATATAAGATTTAAGAAATTAAAAGATTTAAGGAATTATAGGATTCAAGGAATTATAAGATTTAAGGAATTATAAGATTTAAGGAATCATAAGATTTAATGAATTAAAAGATTTAAGGAATTATAAGATTGTTCAACAAGGTTTGGATATGGCGTCGGCGTTATATTGATGCATCACATCATGTACAGTACACGTATCCCATCAGTACACGTAGCCTGAGTCATGTCTGTGACTCACGTCCAGCGGATGTAATCATAATATTTTTGAGAACTACGTGACACACCAGCGTCCTGTGTTCTCTGAAACTCTCTGTTGTGCTGAACAAATCAGACAAACACTATAGCTATAACTTTGATCCAGATCGCATACGCGATTTATTGACGATGAAAAATTTTTTCCATCGAAAGTATTGCAGGAATGACGATATCATCTAACCTTTGGCAAACTTTAAATCAGTTCATGTTGAACATTGGCTTCCATGTTTTTTATATGAACATACACCAAAGTTTGTATTAAGCGTCTCTTTAATGCTTTCTTATCAGACCTTTTCGTACAGCAACTCCAGAAATTTTTTTCATGAAAGCAAGCTATTCATTTTACTAGGGACACAGATACATTGTCTTTGCAGATTTCCCGCAGTTGCTTTTTGTTATACAATCTTTAGGTAAAATACAATTCAAATTTTTTGTGCCTTGTAAACTTTTCCTAGCGCATCAAGTTGTAAAAACAATACTGTTCTGTCATTTTTAGAGTTTAGCACGCGTGCATTCTGGAAGAATTCGTGTTAAAAACAAAGTAATCGTTTATTTGCAGTCAGTTTGCAGCCTCTGAATCATTATATGTATTTTGGATTATGTTGCGCATATATGCACGATATACATTGTAAGCAATAAACTAACAGAGGTAGTTTCGATTGTTCACACATCGATTTTTCGCGTTGCAACGCGCATCAATTGTCCTCGGTGCAACACGCATTAATTGTCCACGGCGCAACATGCAGCAATTGTCCGCGATGCAACACCCATTATTTTCAAACCAAAATGGTCATAAGATTAAAATATTTGAATTCCGGCAGGCGGTTGACCTGCGCGATCGCGCCGCTGCACACCCCGTGGTCCAGGGCGTTGGTCGGGTGGTGCGCCCAGTACACGAGTGGGTCTCGGTGAGTGGCAGATCATCTCCGGCATATTTGACGTACATTCTACTCATAACTTTGACCAAATAAATTCATCATTTCATTAATAAAATAATCCAATACGGTTTTAATTATACATGATGACCATTTAACGTGAAATATTTACAGAATACGGCGAGCGAGCTGAGCAAGACGAGTTTCCGTGACATGTACGACGGCGCGATGAACACCGTGCGGCGTGCGGACGAGACCGTCGCTGACTGGCTCAACAGACGCGGCTCGCAGCAGCAGCTCAGCCAGTACAACTACGACGTCGCTGATGGTGTCGAGCAAGTGCTCCACTAGATGCTGCACTAAATGCTGCTCTACTTGATGCAACCAAGCAAGGCTGTATTGTAGCAGACGTCAGTGTATTCTCTGGGCCGTGAATGGATCATCGAAGGAGATTTTCGTTAGCAGATTATCCATAGATGAGACTTGAGCAATTTTAAAATCTTTCCAACGAGAAACTACGAAATATTTAGAATAAGATGCTAGGATACCGAGTTTTAAAAGATACTATATGAGAGATGTTAATCATCCATTGTTATTTAGGTTCCCCGTTGAATTGATTCTACAAATATCAGGAAAGTTCCATATGTTGCTGCTCGAACGAAATTGTGAGAAAATCTTCCTTACTCACAGTTACGCATCGTCCTTTTGGTTGTCAGTGCATTCAAATCATTCATACAGCATTACGGTTGGCTAATTTTAATCCATAAAACTCATGGTCAAGTCAATTGATAATAATTTGGAAATGAGCTGCATCAAACACTTTCATGAATTGTGTTTATGATCGAATTCCGTAATGTACGTGTAGTCTGACCGCTCCTAACTCATGAAATGAAATCGCTCCCGTATGCGCATGATCGAGCTGCTGTGTATCACAACTGTTCTTCATTACCTAGAGAGAAAAGTACATTTTTTAGTTCGTTTCAATATAAGGTATCTTTTTTTCATAAAATGTTACATCGGTCAGCAATGTGCCAAAGAAGTTGACTTCGGTGCGATGCAAACGAAACTTCGCCGACTTAATCTCTAGAAAATCGCGGTTTCAAAAATTTCCATTGTTAGGATAAGTTATTTTGTAACATTGTCTTGATACTCCATATTATTTCTGGCAAGGTACTCCTGTGCTATGTTTACATCGTACACATACTTGCAGTCTAGCTTTAGTTTGGGATCTCCTCGTGGCATGACTTCTGTTATTCATCACAAATCCGTATTGTGAAGCTCTACTATTTATTGGAATCTGCTCGTGGCATGACGTCCGTTATTCATAATCACAAATCCAGCTCGTGAAGTTTCAGTGTTCATCATTCGAGTCAACGCTCTCTTGTATACCCGCAAGATACTGTTTTATAATACATATATTTATCTTGATTTATCGTTATTTGTTTTCCCTCGCATCTTTTTCGAATCAAAATGTTTACATGGCTCGCTTTTAGTTCTTCTGAGTTTTTAAGGTTATGAGTTATGACACTATGATATGGGAAACGCAGTAACTGAATCGAAAAATCTTAGAAATGTTGAATAAAACACGATGTTAATTAACTATAACAAATATAACTGCGTAAAGCACATTAATGGTAAAATATTCGATTTTCTCTCAAGGATTTCAATAATTTCGTTTCAAATGAAAGCGAAACAGGATACAAAAATTTTGACGCTCACTTGCATTATTGTGATATTTTTTATTGAGAATGCCATAATTTCACATGTCATCAACGTTTCCTGAGCATAACAACGCTATCCTGGTCGAGCCTTGACAATGAACTTGGTCGTCAACTGACGGCGCGAGGAGCGCTGTTAGCCGCAGCGTTTGTAATGCGGCAGTCGGGGCATCACCGCGCTGTGTTATGCGGCTATATAAAGTCATAACCCAATTCTCGATCGTTTCTGTAGGAACTCCCTGCACTCCAATCAAAAAGAAGAATGTGATGGAGGCTTAGCAAGAGTGATCCTAAATGGGCGCGTGATAACGACAAGCGAGCGTCGCACCTGAATCAGTTATTCAATGGCCCATATATGATGGGTTTGGGACTTCCTAGTCCCCAGTCACGCTGATGCGTCGCCTTCGTCGTCCTCCGTCTCCGAGTCATCGCTAGGCAGGTCGCCCCGCCCGCTGGTCCCGGATGTAACGTTGGACGTGTTCCGTATATTTGCCCTCTTTTGGGCCAGCTGATGCAAGACGCTATTGCTTGTCACTTGCTGAGGGTAGATTCCCATAACTGGACAATCCGGGATCGTTCTTAACCAATTGACCAGTCGAGTCTCTTGAATGTTGCAAGGGTGAACTCCCCTCCTCTCAGCACTTTTGGAAAGGCATTAAAGAGCTTCGGAAGCAGCAATTTCAGCAATAAAGATCAAACTAATTTAAAATCTTTCAAGTGACCTGAGGTCTTTAAGTGTTACGACTTTATGAAAATGGAATGAAAGAAGAGTTTAGTTGTTGAAATTTAGAGGAAATCAGTTAGATGAGTAGGAAGTTGGACGGAAAAAGACAGCAAGAATAGCTAAAGGTTTCACTGCGTGTTGAAAGAAGATGAAAGACTTAAATTAGTATTGCACATTCCGAAACAGTATATTCAACTGCCATCGTGAATTGCACGAACCCTCTTCTTGCACAATAGAACTATTGATATTTAATAAACCTTGATAATACTTTGAAATGTTTTGAAATATTTGATGTAATTTGATATATATGTAACATATCATATATTTAACAACTTTGATATATATTTGATATAGATTTTATTTAAATAAATTCAATATACGTATATATATTTGAAATAAACTTAAACTTTGCTATAGATTTGAAATATATTAGATATTAATCTGATAGAAATTAGATATAAATTTATAATGATACACTTAAAATATGTGCCCAACTTCCCACTGGAGCAAAAATAAGCTTAGTTATTGTAAACCAAACAAAATGAAAATGACACTACATTCGCACAAAATAAGGGACAGCGAATCAGCGACAACTTTAAAATGTTCTCTTTTGCGTACAAACGTCCTCAAGTTGCTACACTCAATAGTTTACGTATAATTTAAGTTGAAAGTTACTTTAAAATGTTCTCTGTTGCGTACAAACGTCCTCAAGTTGCTACACTCAATAGTTTACGTATAATTTAATTTGAAATTTGTGTTCCCGGAGAGTGATATACGGTGGGCGAGGGTTAATGTTTGTGAGTCCTGAAACGCAGTTTCAGGACTCACAAACTCTGGACTCACCCAAATAGTGAGTCCTGAAACGCATTTACGTTAACAAGAAGTGGAAGTCATGCGAGATGCAAGCCCAGTCCTTAGGATCGAGGCTCCATGTATATCTTTTATATTACACGCGTGCGATCGATGACCAGAGAATTCGTTGATTTATATTATCAGTGAGTGGAACTTTTCTTCGGATGACGGCAGATTAAAAGGCAAGTTTCAGGGAGTAATTCTTATTTATTAACGACGTTTCGAATGCAACAAACATTCATTTTCAAGTTAGAAGAAGCATTAAACATTGAAATTTTGGTGGAAATAAGTACATAATATAAGTAGATAGGATACAACAGTAAAATTTGTACCAAAAATTACTCGGAAAATTCTTTCAGAGTTCAGACAAATCCGGTAGTCAGAAAATAGATAGGTGGAGTCCAATCTGTTGAGATGAGGGGTTCAGCTATCGCCGGTCGGTTGTTGTCGGGCCACTGCTTGATCACGATGCTGGTGAGTACCTTCAGCACAATGCGAGTGACGGTCTGGTTTATAATAATAATAATAATAACAATAATTATAATAATAATAATAATAATAATAATAACAATAATAGCGGTGTCAGCGTTTATTAGGCCGTAGTCCTGTCGCCGATTCTAAACATAGCAGAATATTCACAGCTTGTTGCGGTCTCGAACGCGCAACTCACTGCTTCAATTTTGCTTTGCTTAACCGCCCGGCCTCCTCGCCGATTCTGACCAGAAACTGGCGCACAGAGCTGGGATCGAACCCGCGCATCTCTGCGCCAATCTTGGTACTCTGAACTTTAACCACTGGGCCCATTGAGGTTTCGAGGTTGTAGACATGAAGAAGTCTACAACCTTCTTTGAAGCAAAATTTATAGACTACACCGGCCTCTCGGATAACTCCCGCGTTTTTGCAGGGGCTTTTGTTGCGTTTAGTTTGGAATTTGACATTGTCATCGATCACATGTGTGTAAACAAGTAAATCCTGCCATCTAATATTAATCTTTTATATTAGTATACATATTACTTTCTATCTATCATATAATATATCACATGAGTAATGCAGTACATGTTAGGAATTACTGAAAATAGAACAATAATTAATGGGCATAATAAGCTTTTTTCGAGTACCTTTCACGGAAACACGTTCAAGAAGTTACCCCTCGTGGCGATAATTTTCAATTGATATATTCTAGCGGAGACTATCCCAAACTAATCCACTGCTCATGACTCTGTCTAACCATTCAAACCTAACAATCGTGTGATACAAGAATATTGCCATATACTCGGTGAAGTTATTCGAAATAAATATTATATCTTTGTAAAAATCTAAACGGAAAAATATTCATTCATATTATACACCTATTTTCATTTTGAATAAATATCTTCCAGAAGGGCAGGGTGCCCAGTGGTTAAAGTTCAGAGTAGGTACGGGTACCATGATTGGCGCAGGGAGGCGCTGGTTCGATCCCAGCTCTGTGCGCCAGTTTCTGGTCAGAATCGGCACGGAAGCCGGGCGGTTAAGCACAGCAGAATTGTAGCAGTGAGTTGTGAGTTCGAGACCGCAAAATGCTGTGAATGTTCTGCGATGTTAAGAATCGGCGTCAGGCTTACGGTCTAATAAACGCTGAAACCGCTATTATTATTATTAGAGAGACCTCAAACAGCATCTCCATTCTCCTTCTCACCTCTCCGGTCCGAGTCCATGGGGGAGGCGCTGAGCTCCTCCCGTCTTTATAATAAATCGGCATGTAACAAATAACTCTCACGATATAGTTGATTTTATCGAGACATTTTTACACGCGATTGATAAGTGTCATTTCGACACCACAGTAGGGTTACTGAACACTCAGCAGTTTTTGAGCGCTAACTCAAATATTTTTGAGGCCGCAACTGTTCCTGCACTAATAGAATAGAAGTGTCGGCATTGAAGAAAATGCTTTACTAATGCTTCATCCCGAGTCTCCGCTCGGTTGTATTGTTCCCATTGTTCCCGCCTGGCATTGTTCCATCAATAAAATATTCAGGCTTAACACCAAACAGAGCATTTTGAGCTTTGCACCGCACGAGACAAATTCTTTGTACTCGTGTAGTGTTAAGACATTTTGCGACTTTTATTTTGAAGTAAAATTATAATTTACCTTTACCTTGGCAACACCGGTAGGAAGTTAACGTCACGCACAGAATTTTCTCATTAGTCATTATTGTTCGGCTGATCCCCGCTGCAGGTTAGTTTTAAGCTCTAATAGGTTCCTTTGTATTGTCTGAATAATTGTTATATTGTATTATTATTATTTCTCTTCATTCATCTTCAACGACGATCATTTATTAGATTTACTTTTCAACAGATACGCACGTTGCCAAGGGTATCATTCTTTACACTATTTTTCCATCTTAATACTTATATTCAAAGCCCATCGTTTTGTTAATTTGCCTTGCAGTAAAATCTCATTTCCAGTCTCTTTCATTTCCATTCTTGTTTTACTGTGTGGGTAATGACTGGCACTTACCCCACACTCGCATTCATTACATTTGGAATTGATATATTCTCAACTTGGGACGCGTTTGAGGAGAGAGAAGATGACAATGGTCGATAACAGCGCTGATCAGACAACTGACGTTCAATTCAACATCGTTTGGCTGAATCAACGGCAATTCAACGTTGTTTGGATGAATCAACGGTATTTCAACGTTGTTTAACGTCGTTGCTAGATCAGGAAGCTACATGCCCGCCATCATCCGTTTATCATCCCTGGAACGCTCAGCGCCCAGTGGTATCCTGCAAGTCCACCGACGAAAAACTTCTTGTGATTTGGTCGATCAGCTGTTGAAAAGAAACAAAATAATCTATTCGTTCATGAGGACGGCAGAGGCAGGGACCGCAGGGTCGACATGATATATGAACTTTGTTATTTTAGTTCTACCCTAACGTTTTCTACACATAGCAAAAAAATAAGTTTGATGGGGTTCTATGAAGTTTTGGCATCCCTTCCTTCATTTTCCTTTTTCACAAATTTTGAATAGCGAGTCCTGAATATAAATTTTTTATCGGACATTACCTACATTACCTAATAGCTTTAAGGACACTTGTGTTGATTGCGATAGAATTTCAATTAAAATATGGGAATATAATCAATGCTGGCACACGAGTGCACAAGTGGCTTGATGTATGAGAACGAACGAACTTTGAATTAAGTGCCGAAAATTAAAATATACAAAGTAAAGGAAGCAAACATTAGATTTCACTTTAAGAATCAAACGTGCGAAGTTACAATGAAAAATCAAGGCTAATGTTTTTACGTTGATGCTGAAATGTGTTTAATTCAGAGTAGGATAGAGCCAGATGTCACATCATTGCAAAACTTCGTTAGTTAACCATCAAAATTTTCTACGTCATCAGTGTCCACGGACCGGTCAGTCAACGCGTCAGTAATGTTTACCATACATGTTGGGCAAAGATGTGGCCTTCAACATTTTTGGGGCTGAAAAGCCATAGAGTTTATTGGAATTCGCATACTACGGTTGAGAGCCTAGCAAATTGATATAGTGTTCTACAGTCAGAGTATCAGCAGGCATTCAACAGCAGACCTAGGGCTATCGAGCGCTGATGTTTAAAAAATATGAATCAAATGAAAGAAAATAACTATGAATTTTCACCAATTCTAGATTTCTGTTACTATTACAAAAATTTCCAAGGAAATGAGAGTACATCGACAGCAAGGGTATAGAGCTAGGTTTATTTATAGCTCCCAATATAGCTACCACGGCTGCAGAAAACTGAAGGCATTATCCTACCTTTACCAAGTAATTGTTTTTAGTTCAGTAGATTATTTAAGCATTTCTGACGGGACTTCCAATTTAACAACTCTAACGAAATTTCATTATTAACTGAAGCCATAAATTATCGTTGACTAGTATAGCACGCGCAGCAGTTTGGCAGCTGAACCTTCCGTATATCTATTATAATGACTCGTGAGAACAATCCTCCCTACACCTGTTCCGTGTCCAAGCCACAGTCCCCTACTAATATACGGATGTAAGGGACTGTGGCTTGCTAATATACGGATGTAATTACTAATATACGGCGCTGTGGACAGAGTGCGTTTCCGTGGCATGTGGCGTCTCTGTCGCATGTCGCCTCTGTGGCATGTGGCGTCGCTGTGGCATGTGGTGTCTCAATGGCATATGGCGTCTCTGTGGCATGACATGTGGTGTCTCTGTAGCATGTGGCGTCTCTGTGGAATATGGCGTCTCTGTGGCATGTGGCATTTCTGTGGCACGTGGTGTCTCGTGGCATGTGGTGTCTGTGGCGTCTCTGTGGCATGCGGCATTTCTGTGGCATGTGGTGTCTCAATGGCATGTGGCGTCTCTGTGGCATGACATATGTGGTGTCTGTGTGGCATCTTTGTGGCATGTGGCGTCTCGGTGGCATGGCATGTGGTGTCTCTGTAGCATGTGGCGTCTCTGTGGCATGTAGCATCTCTGTGGCATGTGGTGTCTCTGTGGCATGTGGCGTCTCTGTGGCATGTGGTGTCTCTGTGGCATGTGGCGTCTCTGTGGCATGTGGTGTCTCTGTGGCATGTGGTGTCTCTGGGGCATGTGGCGTCTCGGTGGCATGTGGCGTCTCTGTGGCATTCGTGCCTACGACACATGCCGCGTCCGATTAACTCGCTCAAAGTTTGCGTTGGGTGGATGTCGATAATTTTGGACGCGAGGTCGAATGGCATTTGCCGACTACGTACTGCCAAACTTATTATGAGAATGTCTTTAGTGCATTCTAGTGATAAACAGCTCATGATAGGGAAATGTGATGAATTAGGGTTACAGTCAAATTTAAACTCTAAATAACTCATAGGAAACTAATATAATCGATTTTACAGTCCAGCACTTAACCCTCTAGCGCCTGACACGAGTAACCGGAGCATTATTGTCACAAACCTACTTCCCAAAAAATAAACGTTCTAGTGAGCGCAAAATGACTTGCACTGATGGTTGCCGCCACGTACGACAACTTTAAAATGTTCTCTGTTGCGTACAAACGTCCTCAGGTTGCTACACTCAATAGTTTACGTACAATTTAATTTGAAATTTATGTTCCCGGAGAGTGACATACGGGGGTAGAGGGTTAAAGAAATAAATCATAGCAAGAATAAGTAAGAATAAGCGAAAACATGAGATAAGATACTTTAGTTCACAATGCTTTTCTGAGGGCCGAGAGAGTTTATTAAAAAATTGAAGTTATTAATATTTGGACATGAATATTGAATATAAGAGGGAAAAACTCTCAGTGGCGTCAACTAAATAATTAAGCATTGATACAGTCACATGCTGTTATTTCAAATACTTGAGCGTTTTCAAAGGGGAAAAAAATACGAAGCAGTGACCTGTTATAAATCTGTACTTGCCGTGCTAAGCAATACAACTGCTATGCTAACAAGACAGACTATTAGCTCCTCTCTGCGGTAATAAGAGAAATTAACTCTACGGATATTTTCTAAGAGATAAACTAAAAATATACTTCAATATTAGGAAAGCGGCTCCAAAATAACAAGTTTCAGAAAAAACAATCGATCATGCAATTCACTGAGCTGATGATCACGCAAAATAAAGATTCGTTATTATTTTGACTCATCACTGAACTACCCTTATAAGCCTTATACGAGTCGCACGGTTCATTAGTTGCACGTAGAATGTTGATGAAGGGCCGAGTGGTGTATGAATATGAATTAATTCCAGACGAATTGAATCAATTTGAAAAGCGACTGGATCGTCCATCAAAAAAAATTTCCTACGTTTCACAGTTCAGATAGAATTTTAGTAACATCGAAGGGGATATTGGTATGTATAAGTTACATTGCTAATTTCAATCCCTAAATATGCAAAGCAAACGGAATATTTCAAACTAAAAGAACAATGAAGAGACAACCTTGCTTTTTTATGAACAAGATTGCAGCACACAAAAATCGATACGAGTTCGAATCAATTGAATCTTAAATGTAGCTCACGGAAAACATTATAATCTTCTACGAAAAATTGAGGGCTAGAGAACTCGCTAGATTCCAGTATATTAAATAAATAGAACGGAACACCGTTGCTCCTAGAAATGGACTGCAGTCATTGTGTGATTATCGTGGATATCTTGCCAGCAATACCACCAACTGAGCCAGTAAATTAAACTTCAGAAACGCTATTAGACCAATTAAAAATGAATATTGAAACTATATTTTTACCCAGAGATTAACATTTTTAACCAGAGATTACGTAAAAAAAGCTAATTGATACATTGCGAACACTCGGACATCGTAAACCTCAAGTTTATCCAAAAACATTTTCAAAGTGGTTATGCAGCCTACTTTGTAACACATATAGCTTCAGTCAAGTCCTAATTCAACGGGTAAAAATTCGTAAATACCCAAAGAAAAAATCTAATGGCAGGATCACACCTATCATTAAAACAAATCTCACGTTTAAGGATGCAATCGATAGAATGGGTTTCTTGAAACAACTTCTTAACGCTTGTCAAGTTGTGGGTTGTGACATTCAACAAATTTGGGGAAGCTAAAGAACTGATGGTAATTTATACTGAGCAAAGAAGCACTCTGGTAAGGGACCGACTGTAAGACCAATGAATAACTAGAATTCGTCTACAAACAAAACTGTCTCCTATGTCGGTTCATTGGCACAATTGCACTGCTTTTCAAATTCTGTTGCGACACAGGCTGATTGGATTTTGAGAGGCGGACTGACAATAAATAAAGCGTGTTCACTTTCAATATTAACCACTATGAAACAATAATAGTGTAAAGGGACAGACGGCGTCGAGATGACTTAGGCTTTAAGAGGCGGGCTCTGCTTCACGTGCAGGATGATGGAGCGCATGCGCGACACATCCCTGCTGCTCTTGGCCGTCTTGGGGTTAAAGTCGCAGAGCTTGGCAATGCGCTCCCACTCGGTGCCTGGCTCTGGGCGCTCTGTGTCCGCCACCAGCTCCTTCTCTGCACTCCTGCACACGTAAACAACGTCTTACTGCTGCGTCATGACAGAGCGTCGTCTGCACATGTAAACAACGTCTTACTGCTGCGTCATGACCGAGCGTCGTCTGCACATGTAAACAACGTCTTACTGCTGCGTCATGACAGGGCGTCGTCTGCACACGTAAACAACGTCTTACTGCTGCGTCATGACAGAGCGTCGTCTGCACATGTAAACAAACAATTATTGCTGCGTCATGCCAGGGCACCATACATGCACGCTAATGTCAAAATTCCCGTACTACTACCGAACGACTACAAAATGGCGCATCATTTGATGCATGTCAATACCTTATGAACGGCAATGTATATATAAGAGCCCTAAGCCGTTGTTCAGAGATTATTTGATGCTACCGGTACTCATGGTTTTGAAAACATAATTTTCAGATCATTCTCGGTTTCAATTTTTCTACAGTTAGGTTTACAAAATGTTAAAAACATTGAAAAAGACAAGGACCCGAGACAATTGAATGCCAAAAAGGTAGGGCAAGCATAATGCAAATATATTACGCGCTGCTTTTGATAATCATGTCACAGAAAATGATCATATCAGAGTTTCTCGGGACATTTAGAGTTGCGTTGTATTATTGAAATCTCGATTTGAAGGTCCGACTGTCATTGCGTGTTAAGCATGGGTCTGGAAAGTAGCATATCTACAATATAAACCTGAGTTATGGAATTAAAGCTATGTAAGGAGTTAGTGTCATTGCAAGTACTGTGTTAGGAGAATCAATTTATTTCATCACTCAGTCTGAAGAATTGTGGAGAAAACTGCTGTTTTGTTCGGGCTTCAGGTTGAGGGGAGATATTAAAAGTTTATATGATAACCAGCAATGCAGTCTATAGAATCTTTGAAAGGCGATGCACTAGTCTTTTCAAATACCCGACATCAATATGTTGGTGAATGAATGCGATTTTAGAAGTATGAGCAGCTCTATACGAACAATTTTTAAATTAAGTACAACAGTGTGATTACTCTAATACCGAAAATACAGGAAAACGAAATTTTTATCTGATGGCACCAAGATTAAAAAATTCAATTCCTGGGGCAGGCACAGAACAGGATGCATCAGAAGAGAACAAACAGTGCAAAAACACCATTCATAAACACCGGAAAAAATAATCGAGTTAAACCTTGTAAAAATGTAATATGAAAGTTGCTATTGTTCCAGGAACTCGGCAAAGGTAAGTTAAGAAGAAGAATTACAAATCAGGATAAATTGAATGGATCATTTCTTGCATGTATGCTACGGCTAATTCCGTGAGCCTCTTCTATACATAATGCGGCTCAACCAGGATAAATTAAGCAACCTATACTTTGAAGACAACAATCGTTGAGAAGTAAAGCAAGGCCGGCATTGCAGGAAATTTTTCATTCGGAAAGGCATGAAAAAGCAGTTGACAATGGAAATTAATAGAAGCAAAATTAAATGAGAATTTTATAAACAACGGAACTGTGTTGGAGTCCAGACGGTGAGGATCAAAAGTTGTAAATGTGTTAATATTTCCAATACCAATCACTGTGACAAGCGCTTTGAGTTGATGGAAAGACGCAAATGATCAGACAAATCTACAAGCTCTGAGAAGCAGCATCAACACGTCTCATGAAACTGTGCAGTGACTGAAGACTGCGTACGGGTGATTAGGTGTAGCGAGAGAAACAGCATGAAAACGATAACAAATTAATTAGCAAAAGAAAACAGCTAAACTTATTAGTTACTTTCAGGTGAACGAAGCACTACAATAAGATCAGGACCTTAAGTAAATTTCTAAATATAACTGAATTAAAATGGAAAATATGCGGAATTTCCTTGTGTACAGCGAGAGAACATTGAGTTTACTAGAGGGATTATGCGAATTACGTCGCCTTCAGGGGTGACTAATGTAGAGACACTTACTTGCAGGCCTCCCTGTAGGGTGGCAGCATGTAGGTATACAGTAAGTGAGAGCACGACACCAGTGAACAACACAATATATTGCAACACAATTCGTCACCGGAATTACTTTGACACGCACGTTTGCATCTAAAAGGAGTAGAATGAAATGTATTTTGGCGCCACAATAATCATCATTTTTTTCTAACTACGATCGATATTAAAGTCTAGAATCGAAGGGAAAACTAAAAAAAAATTTTTTGAGCTAAGACTTATATGCAAAATAGAAGACATTGAAATGGGGCGTGAAAGTTATCAGGATTGCTTGCACATTTCATCGTGGGAATAGCCACAGATCTTGCCTGGTTATAATAGTTCCCTCGACCAGGCAAAAAACGGGAAGCGATGAACATGTTTATCAGTACCTATCGTTGATGTTTATAATGCGTCATGTTAAAAACGCTCACATGAATGTTTAGTCTTTACGGACGCTCGCCAAGAGAAGTTTAAGGCAACGAGCATCTGCGGTCATAGAACTGCATGGGTGAGGCTTGCTAATACAAATACTGTACATCGCGCATGGTGACATTATGATGGCGATAGGGGGCAGAATCGGTTCCACATGGAAACTTTCATGATAGAAGTGTGATTTTCTATCACTAAAATTCATGGCAGAATGCAAAAAAAGTTCACTGGACGCGATCACGTGATGAGTCTACCGGTAGCTTTATGGTGGTTTGAACAAGTCACACAAATTATGGTGTAGCAGATGAATAGAGAGAATATCACATTCTTAATTATATAAAGTGAGTCAAAATTCGTGGTCAATGATATGAACTTAAAAAAAAAAAAATAAGTGAATATTCCGTACTCCACTGCATAAATTGTGTATATCTTTAAGTAGACGGAACACTCAGTGCTTGTATTGTGAATAATGAAACATACATAACATATGAACGGAAGGCTCGTAACTTGAACTAGGCAGGTTCAAGTCAAGTAAGATAGACGTGCAATATCATCAATGAGACACGGAGGCATTATCGCGGATCTGATCGGGCATAGTTCGGAACATCCCATGAATAGATTAACACTAACCATATATAGCAGAAATAATTATTGCGGATCTGATCGGGCATAGTTCGGAACATCCCATGAATAGATTAAGACTAACCATATATAGCAGAAATAAATATACCAAGAGGCTCCATGCAAACTAGGCACACAATTCATCAAGACTCATCAGGCAGAGAAAAATTTGGCACTGTTTGAGACAAATGAATAATTCCCATCATCTGACATTCATACTGCATATGACGAAATTGATGCACTGCTCGCTTTTTCTTTTCCTTATTAGCTCTTGAAATTAAAGGAATGAAGTTGCTATAAAAATTAGAGGCAGTGAACAACAATTATGTGGATGCGACCGTAGCTGCTCCAGTGGTTTCAAAAGATAAAAAATTCTTCCATGTGCTTAGGAAAGTGGGATGCTGGCATGTCGTGATATGGCGTTCAAAACGCATGAAATTATGAGACAATGATGGAGCAAATGTTAATAGTTACTGAAACAGAACAATTTGTCAGGGGAGTCATGGCACAGCTGGGTAGATGTAATCGATGGAACACAATTTAAAAAAAAATACTGGCTCTGACCAGTATCGGTAGTTGGTGGAAAATGAAAATAAACTGTGTAAAAGATGCTCACATGGACCGAATTATCCCAACTTAATTTGATACAATCTGTTGTCCCACGTTTCAAGTGATTCTATATAATCAACTGCATATAATCTGAACATATATATAGTGAATTTTGGGGACTAATGTTGTTTAATTCCCTCATCGTGCCAGTTTCAAAGTAATTATTTGGAAGCCAGTCCAAGATTCAAGTAGAAGGAATATGGAGTGTTCAAAACCTATGAAAATAAATTAATAATACGTACACATGAATCACTCAATGAATCATACACATAGCAGACCGCCAAACATTTGTTAGTAAATCACACAGGTAGTGGACTATGTCAACATAAAAACAGCGATGATTCTGTGACACAAGTTAGAATTATCATCCATCAAGAACTGTTTGTGGAAGCAACGAGATATCTGGTTTCAGATTATTTATTGTTCCATGAATGTTACCACGCGAGTCAGGTTCATCGCAAAATTGACCTAACGATCACTATCAGAATAGAAAAAGATATACCTACATCATGAGACAGCCCAAAACAATATAAAGAATCGGGAGCCCAAAAACGGCATTAGTTTCTATTCAACTCGTTAGTTCACACGTACTGTAACTTCATGACCAGAAGCCAAAAAAAGTAGCCAAGTTATTTGCAAATGCGTTCAGCCCAATGCAAGAAGATAGAAATTTCAAGACATTTAAATAGATGCACAATATATTGAAATGAAGTTCTGATGCAAAACATGTTTCTAAGTAACACTGATTGACCTGAAAAGTTGGCAGATGTGCTCACCTGTTAGCCTGGCGTGTCTTAGCGACCTGCTCATCGTGCTGCTTGTACCAGTCGGCCAGCTCCTGCTTAGCCTTCTCCCGTAGAGCTTCTTTTGCTTCCTCCTCTGCCTCATCTGCACGAATACAATCTTTTTAATCTCGAGTCTGAATAAGAGTTAATATTTAGCTTTCTACAGGGAACAAACGTCCGTGGTTTTGATAGTATTCCTACCTGCTGCCCTCTCATGGCACATACCGGCTGCATCATACTCTTGTCTGATTAAGTGGGATTTTTCCGCAGCTCTAATTGCCATAGGTTGTAGTAACTTGGATAAAAACTACAGCCTTATATGCAATTATCACTAAATATTCATCAAGCCGAATGGAAGAAAACTGCAAAAGGATTTGTGATGATGATGATGATGGTTAACACAATTCTAGAAAGCTAGACCTGATTAGCTTTTTTAGCCTTAGGCATATGTTGGGTGCATAGTCATTAACCAGCTTCTGTAACATATTCACTTTGTCATGAAAATTGAATGTCAGTGAAACTCCATTTATGGCAAGCTAGCCTATGATGCAAGTACTTTAAAATGGAAGCAGGTGGATTGAAGTATACAACCAACCATAATGATAATGATAAACCATAATGATAAACCAACCAAAATGATAAACCAAATAATTGAATGCAAAATTCATTGGGAACAATGCAGAAATTCAAGTTCAAAGTGTATATTCAACAAAGATACAACAGCCAGTACAGTCACACGATCAATTTTAATTGTATTGAATTGAGCAAATCTATTGAACTACCTTGTATGATGATGCAAAGGATTTATTTAGTTTTAAACATTTATCAAATTAATTGTTTATCTACTCAATGCAAATAATTATAAAATTGTATGGAATATTAATATGAAACAAAATCTGAATATAGGAGGAACATGATTCTACTGACCCTTCATCACAAGTTTGCGTTGATGTTCCTCCCGCCAAATCTTGATTGCCTCTGGCTCAACTCGAGGCACTGGTGTCATGACTGCTCATGCAGAACACAGTTGGGGAGATCAAACTCTCATGTGATCAGATGCAGCTAACTTACCTAGCAACTAATACTAACATGGCTTGATCTAGCAATTGCTTTCTTTATATCAAACCCACAAAATAAATTGCTCTTTAATGAAAATTTTTCAGTTATCTTTTGGTAAATTTCTAGGAAATTCATTGAAAGTAACTTTTTTCCATTCAAATAAATAATATCTGAACACATTACATAGATCTTTTGTCTTTCACTTGACAACACTAAATATTTACTAAATATTCACTCAAAAACACTAAATACATTCACTAAATAGATGCACTCATGCACTTGCTGCAAATTTTCCTAGGTCGCCACCATAACCTTTCATTTGCGCACAAATGAACAAATTTTTTTACCAGATTTCCATGAAAATCTTATAATGACCTCAACCATATATATTTTGCTTAAAATAACATAGGCAGCTTTAGAAGACTGTACCTCTCTCAGGTGTGCGCAATGGTGTTCCCATCACATCAGCTCCAGAGGCTGCGGCAGCTGCAGCAGCAGCTGCAAGGATGGAGCATACTTCAAATATTAGTCATCAAATTGCACTCCTGAACAGTACAATAATACAGCTTACACTTTACTTGCAGTTCTTCAGTTGTAGTCATTCCTGCTGGTTATCTCCTGTTGGTTTTATTGCATGCCAAGTTCAACACAGTCCAACATAAAAATCAAAATATATGAATCAAGATAACATAATCCCACATTGACTAGTTTATAGCAAACAATTTGAAGACCTTTTTAATCAGGAAAGCATCCTCAATGGAGACCTGTTATATACACATCAAATTGAATAGCAATTAGCAATCTAAAAATTTATTGAGTGAAAAAATATTTCAGATGGCAGCAGCACATTACCAGGACTGGAAAGATAAATACAACCATTAAGTGAGGACAGTTGTAATTATTCAAACATTCAAGTTAATTTTTCAGCCTGAAATGCAATATATCATACAAACTTCACATGAATGCAATAAATTCTGGTCTTGGTGGCTTATTAAACTGTTGGAAAACACACACAAGGAAGTCCAAGAATTGTAGCTGACCAAAAATGCATTCATCAGTGGTAAATTACCAAGGTTTGCCTGGAAGATTTACATCACAATGCAAGATTTTGAGGAGATTAATTAAAAAATTAGAATTAATTCAGTTGCAATGGTCTAATTAGAGCATAATATATACATATATATGAATGACAAAAAATTAAAAAATAAGTAATGCATAATATATAGGAACCTATATATTCATAACTAAATGAAGCCTGCTTCAAATATAATAAATAAATACCTATATACTTGTAATGTGATGAGCTATCTAGAGCATATATATGATAAAGAATGAAAACATGAATAATGAATGATGAGCATTGACTGGTTAACAGTAGTATTCTTACGCAGGTATGAGTAACTCACAGGCTATGTAAGAATAGCACATAAGATAATGTTATACAATCAACTGTTGCTCAACAGTGGCCCTTTAACCCACAAGTGGTGCACTGATTCCAGTGCAGCAAATGATTAGCTATGATTAATGCTTGTGAATAAATTGAAAGTGAATAAGATTGTAACAAAAGAGAAGGCTCAAGTCAATGAGCCACATTCACCATAGTTTGCCTCATCAGCAGCTTGTTGCAGAGCATCAGCTTCAGCAATTGCAGCATCAGGAGCTACATCTGCTGAAGGAAAGATGCAATTGGAGCAAAAGGAGCATTCAGTCAAGGAATTAAAAGTATTCAAGTTTTTGAGAAATTTCTCAGAGGTCACTAATCACTCCAAATTAGTTGGCAAAAAATATTGAAAATACAATACAAGAATTTACATGGAAAAAGTTAGCCTAATATATATATAAGGAAAATCTTGATATTAATCTTCAAAGAAAAAATATATAGATATGTTGTACAGTCTTGAAAATTTACAGTTAAGTGAGTGGCAAAGAAGCATGAGCTGCCAACTATGGCTGCAAAATAGTATTGAAAAAAATTAAATTTTGATTTTATAAAATTATTACCTATATTTTTTCAAGTTATAAAATTTAATTCAAAGCAAATGGGGACAATGATTTATTATGATTTATAACAAGCAGTGATTACATATAATTTCACTATAATCAATTTTCTTCAATGAATTGGGCTAGATTTGCTTAAGTAATCAAGACATTATGAAGACAAGCAAACACTTGAGAAGCAAACAATTACCTATACATGTTATGCATGATTAACTTAATTATTCAATGATCAAATTTATTTATCCATTCATTCATTGCAATCTTACTCACCACATCATCAATTTGATAAAAAATATAGCCCATTTCCTTCATATTTCAAACATTTACACATTACCATAAGATTGAGCACCTTGATAAAATCACAAAATTCATGAGGTTAGAACCATTTCAGGATATCATTAAGAATAATGACAAAATAGTAAAGGAATAATATTCAAGTAAGAAAGTTTAAAAAAGCATCTATATCACTCAGGCACTGCATACATGTAGTTCAGCATCTGAATAAATCATAAAGTAGTTGTCTCACAAAAGCCAATAGCATGAAGAGGAAGTTGGCACTCATAAAGCAAACCTGAACTATGTGGAGTTATTTTTCTGTAGCACCTCTTCTATAATCATATTGAAAGTTAACAATCGATCAAGGAATGAAACATACCAAAAGGAGCAATTTGTGGAGGATCTTCCAGACCAGCCAGTTCATCCTGCTCCCGAGCCAAGAACTCCGCTGCAGGATCAACTAAACCATTTCCATTTGGGACAAAATTATCACCGAAACCATCCATTGTCAAGACTGTATTCTTGTTGAGGTAACTTGCAACTAACTAATGCCTGAAAAGCAACCACTTGTATCAATGTTTAAAAGCTCAATAGAGATGTGAAATTACCAAACTCAGTCAATGCTAATATAGGTATACTTCAACAGCATACATATGTGTGTGAAAATTCTATACAGCTGCTCTGCTGATATGAAGCTTGCAGTGGATAAGGTTGTTGTCAGGGGTATGGCAGTTATTATGGGGGAGTTTTAAAAGTGTTAGGTATAAAACAGAAAAAATAGTTTTTGGTAATGAAAAGTGGATGTGGTAATATCAATTATTAATAAAGGAAAAACATGTACAAATCACAGAAAATGTTATTTATTCTAATTTTATGTCTACATCATCTACAAATGAAGAGGACTTTTGAATTCCTTACTTCCATTGAACTTTGCTTTCTTCAATGATTCCTCTAATTGCAGCAATAAGTTAGTTAGTACCATCAACTGGGGTGACTTCGACCAAATTACAATAGTTTCTGCCAATCAAATTCCTACAAGAGGAATGAGGCCTTGCTGGTGATTGTAAATTTGTAAATATATTACTGAAATGTTCTTTAAATATGTCATGTCTAAATTATGTCACTTTTATTATTTAATTATTATTTTTTCAAATTAGCTGGGTGGCCGATGTCACCCTGCAATGGGGTGACAGCAGCCACATGTGTTGAAACACAGTAAAAACGATTTCATGGCCAAATTCAACCATTAACGGGGTGACATTGGCCACATAGGGTGTTTTAAAAAATTATAATCAATGCCATTGTGTAGTACTATAAAAATTTAAACACTAAGATAAGGACTGACATTTGTGAATCATATGCTTCATTAACACATTGACTACAAAGTGGTACATATGCGTAACACAAAATTTATTTCTCCAGGAAGTAGTGGTACAGAATTCAGGTTGCCTAAAATCGGCCAAATCCGAGAACAAAAAAGGACAAAAAGGCCGATAACTCAATATATACTAGTTTATTTGTAGGGTCCACTATAAAAATTCCATATATTTTCTTTTTGCAGTATTTAAAATGTAATTAGGAAGTACACATATCACAAATTTTAGCCAGCCAATGCAATTGAGAAAAACTAAATCACAGAATTTGTCAGTAAAAAATGACCGTCTGGCAACCCTGTTTAAAAACAGTAGGTACAAAAAATTGAATAATAGTACTAGATGAAGCAATTGTAGTCAACATGTTAAGGCAGTTTCATGAAAGTTTGAAAAATCTAGTCCCCATGGGATCTGGAGCATTCTTCAAAAAACCGATGACGATTGTGATAGAGGTGCGACCCTTGAACTTACGTAAAGTGCGACCCTGTTTGTCAAGGTAATTTTTAACCAAAAAATGCAGATCCATACTGTCTAATGGGAAGCCCCAGTCTGATAGCAGAATAATGTAGGATACTAAATCTGACACCTGTGTAGGTGAAAGAGTAGACTGTCCTAAATTTTTTACATGACGGCCGGCACATCAGTTGCTCAAAGTTGAACAAGAGACTTTGCAAATGTTGGCAGCTTCTCTTTGGCTTCGGAGTTATACAGCAATCCCTTGATTAGCACGGTTTTGAATACCGCGGTTTTGATTAACGCGGAAAAAAAATTTGCGACCTACCCTTAATCTACACGGTGCCAGTTTTGATTAGCGCGACTTTTTTTATATCTACTGCTCACTTTTATCAAACTACATAATTTTCCTTTCCTTTGCTATTTTTGAGGATTCATTATAATTATTCCCATATATTCTTAAGTTTGATTAGCGCGGTTTTGCTTAACACGGTAAAACTCGGGGATTTATTAACCGCGTTAATCAAGGGATTGCTGTATTCAAACATTAGAGTTATATTCATGAGATTCCTCTTTCTAAAGGCAATTAATTTGATGGAGAATTTTGTATTCTATAAACTAGATGAACAAATCTGATATTCTAAGTGCCTTCTGTCAAGCGCATCAGTCATTGCATGATTTGTTCATCAATTGCAATGCTCTCTTAAATGACTCCTCAGAATACCGGTACATCCTACATGGCACAGAATCTAATTTACGTTTATAGCTGCGCATATTGTCTGAAAAAAGAAAAATATATTATTCTAAACATTTATTGGCTGGCCAAAGTCACCCCATTTAGCCCATGTACTATGGGGCTGCATTGGGGCATAGTGCCAAACCAGAGATTTTTCAGAATAAGTTCATTTTTAATTTCCCCATTTACTAAAGATTTAAACCAATTTCTTTTGTATGACAATGCTGGTAGTGGTATCCATGATACTTCACTCAGTTCACTGATTTACTTATAGGACTCAAAAATGAACTTGAGGGAGAGTCTAAAAAAACTCTGCTTTGCCACTATGCAATATGGATGACTTTGTCACTTTGGCCAGCTAATTTTTTAAGCATATATATTACATTTGGTAAAAAATGTATAGCCATTGGTCATTATACAAGATACCAAAATAAGTGACACAAATCTGGTTCCAAAATTCTTTTTGTATCTCAAAATATTGAAGTTTGCACTCAGCTTTTTTTTCTTTACAGTACTGTGGCATTCAGATTGTGTTGGTCAAGCAGGATATAAAATTAGTGAAACAAAACAGTTTCCAATTGATAGATAAGGCAAAACTACATTGGATACCATTTTGTTCCAATAACATAACACAACTACAACAGAAACAAATGGCCGCAAAACAATATCATAAACGTTGACATGCCATTGAGCATTGACAACGACCTTGTCCACTGCAAACTTCATATCAGCAGCCATGTAGCATTTCTTCTGTATCTGTAAGCTTACAGGATGGTTTGTAATTTCGCACAATTTTAATCGAGTCAAGTGATTTCAATATAATAGAAAAGATTGTGAAAAACATACCTGAAACAGAAAATAATGTTTTAGTGACAACCATCATATGTTTTGGTGAAATAAATCATAGTTTAGGTAAATTACTTTTCCTTCAATGATGCCCAGTGCACAATTTTATATACAGCAATCCCTTGATTAGCATGGTTTTGAATACCGCGGTTTTGATTAATGCGGAAAAAAAATTTGCGACCTACCCTTAATTTACGCGGTGCCAGCTTTGATTAGCGCGACTTTTTTTTCACAACGCATCATTTTGGGCGGAGATCGGTCTCCACAATGCAAGCATTGTTTTCACAATGAAAAACGAATAATCTAGATATGTTGTTACTTTTGTTACGACTTATGGAAAAATTCGCCAAATGTTACTTTATGAATTTCAGCCAATAATTCTTTAAATAAGGTCCCGTTCGGCACTCGTGCTGACTACAGAGTTGGTTTAACCACGCCTTGTCTCGTTCATAACTCGAATGGTCGAGTTCGGCAACGTTTGCCAGTAAGTGCGCCATGCCGGTGCTCTAGCTACTCGTTAGCCTCGCTGCCAATTCTACTGCTCATTTTTATCAAACTACATAATTTTCCTTGATAAATTACCGTCATAATTATGGACAAAAAGGGAACGATTAAACGTAAAAATATCACTTTGGAGACTAAGCTTGAAATTAAAAAAAAATCATTTATTATTGAGAAAAAAATATGATGAATTTTAGTGGAAAAAAAATTATTATGTAACTTTGCTATTTTTGAGGATTCATTTTAATTATTCCCATATATTCTTAAGTTTGATTAGCGCGGTTTTGCTCAACACGGTAAAACTCGGGGATTTATTAACCGTGTTAATCAAGGGATTGCTGTATAGCATTCTATGTACAATTTTGTGACAACCAATGATGCACTAATTTTTATAAGTGAATTTTTTTCCCCTGAGCAAGGTAAATGTAATCAAAATTCTTTGTTGGTAATCAATTTTTTTAACTGGAGCATTTGCTAACTGAGGTTCTACTGTAAATGCATTTTTAAGGGTGTCCCTAATTACCACAGGGGGGTGTCCCTTTTTACCCCATCGTGCTGAAATGGCTGCCATTTTTTTTTTGGAACAAGATAGGCAAATTTTGTCAATTACATTTTCACGCCAACACCTGGGTGCAACTTTTATGTAAGTAAAATTTTTTAATACGGTATGGCAAATATTTTTTTGCTCCAGACCTTAGCAGAGGTAGGTAGGGTAAACGCGGTATATTCCGTCATTGTGGGTAATTCCGTCACCTCTTTAGTTTTTCCTTTATATTAAGCTTTGTTTTAGTTCCATGCGTTCGTTGATGGTTGAAATGGTGACGTCATACATTTGCGTGTCGAAGTAATGCCAAAACACTAGGTCTTGGCCATCTAGTGGGAAAATATTGAGATCCAAAGAGAGACGATGCACGCTACCCAGTGAGATCATTGAAAAATGTGTCAAATTTGACAGTTGACCTTGCTCTACCAAATAGTGAATAACTCTTTGTATAGGAAGAATATTATGGTTTGAGACTTTTAAATACATCTGTGAATATATTAGGAATCCTTTAAGTATACTTGTATAAGTTGTATTCGCTGATTTCAAGTGGTAAATAAATTAATAGATGATTAAGTTGAGAAATGGATTTAGACACATGAAAACTAATTCCATCACAACTTGAATTGGACACACACAGATTGTTCCAAGCTGTGTACAAAAATTAAAATTTGCCTAATTAAAAGCTTAACAGTTGTTAATTAAAAGCGTAATTAAGTAGTGTTCAATATTCATTAGTGTTCTAATTCAAAGCCGTGTTGTATTCCAATACAGCTCACACAGCAAACGGAATTCGAACACGTGGATGACGGCATTACGTATCAGTAGAATTTGAAGCACGGACGTAATACGCCTCACCACGTGCTGAATATTGCCACACATAGTGACGGAATATAGGGATTTGGTAGGTTTCCATTCTAAAGGCTTTTAAGTAAATATGGCAACATTTTGTGACGTTTTGTTGTTGCTGGCGCGTAGTACGGTGTTTTGCGAGTCAAATAAAGCAAACAGAACTCAAGTAACGCATACGGTTATTTTTTTATAGTTATTCGTTTCTCGATGCGTCCTTAATGCAACGGAATATACAGTAAAATGGGATAACTTAGACCACTTTTTTTTATAAATGATGCC